TAAATTTAAGCTATACAAACTTATTATCTTTATTATGAAAATTCATAAAATAAGTATAAACAAAATATCTACCAATATTCTTAAATAACATGATTTTATTGGAGTTTTAAAAGTATTACCAATTACAACAACAACTGTTATAAAAATCCTAATTATAAGAATTTGTATATATAAATTAGTAAATATTTTTTAATAAATACTTGTTAGATCATTTATTTATTTTGATTTAAAAAATATAATAACTTAAAAAAATTGAGTTTTTTTATTATAAAAAGTTATTATAAAAAGATGTTTAAACATAATCAATAGATATATATATATATATATATATATATATATATAGATGTATGATCTTTACTTTCATATTATTATAACATATTATTAATGCATTATGGTATTATAATTTAATTAATTAAGTTATATGTGCTTATTTTTATTTTACAAATACTATATAATCTTGCTCAAATACTCAAGCAATATGGTTGTATAAGAAATTTATTGAAGTGTAATTTTGATACTTATAATTTTTATTTTTATTTTTTGTAACAAACTCACTGTAATTATTTGGCAAAACTTATGCCATTATCACTAGTCTAGCTTTGACAATAATTGGAATTAATCAAAGAGAAATTTCTCAACAATAGTGTAGAGAATGTAACACAACACAAAGAAAAGCTAAAATAGTTTATTGCACAATACTTGCTTAATAATATCAAAGAAATTACAAGAGCAGTCAAAGAAAGGGTGTAACTATTGTAGATGAGAATGTTGATCCTAATTAGAGAGCAATTGATCTACAATATATGAAAGATTGTAAGAGAGATGAAGAAGAGAAAGAAGATATCAATCATTGGAACCAAAAAAGGATGCAACTACAATAAGGAAAAAATTATGAGGAATTGGGACAAAGAAGGATTGAAGCAATGTATAATCTAAGTAAGATGAAAGTTTTGTGTTAAGAAGTAGAAGGACATGCTACTATGATTAATGAAAATAATGGTGGTTGTAGAAAGTTTGTTCAACTTATGAATCTTTGAAAAAATATAGGCAAAAGACATGAAAAGAAGCAATCTTATGTTTACAATAAGAAGAAGAAGCAAGAGTGCATAATAGAATAAGAAAAATTAGTGAACAAATTGAGAAACTTTTTTATGAACATCATAATAAAAGAGAAAGATTAGAAGGTTGTCATAACATCGGAAATATAGACATTCAATGCCCTTATTGCAAGGCATTCTATTTGATGGATGACCAAACTATGCCATTAATAAAATTAAGTCTATAATTTGGTACATGTTGTCTTTATAGAAAGGTTTTCATACAAAGAATTTGGATGGCATGATGAAATGAGATATAGAGATATAAATGTTAATAAAAATAGAGATTAAAATATGCAGATTGCAAGTATTACTTAAATGTATCTTTATGCATGACAATTGTTTTTACAATATAATGAATACTTTATTGTCTTACAAGCTAAAATGTTGCTACAAGAATTTATTGTCGATGCTTAGGCAACAACAAAGTAGAATTAATTAAAATATTTGAATACAAATAAAGATTGATTACATGTAGATATATATCAAGGATTGGTAGCTATTTTTGGAGATGCACAAAACCAAGAAGTTGATGTGTAAAATCTAAAGTAGAAGATAATTCTTTCATCATTTCATATTAAAAGTACAAGAAACCTATTTGAGATTTTTCAAGATTTTATAACCATTTTTGGTATAATAACTGCAAATTTATGGTGGTCAAAGTTCTCAAGTGTATTTTTTTTAAGATAAAGGCTTAAAGATTGTTTGGACTTGGTAGCAAGATTATTTGTACTCAAACATTGTACATTAATTGAAGATGTTTATAATCATCATATTTTAGGACATACACTTATAAAAGTATATACTATTGATTTTGAAGAGCAATATTTTTTTTACATGGACTTTTTACTCTTTTCAATATAAAAAAAAACAAAGTAAAAAATTTGACCAATATTGATTGGATTATTTATGCAAAGTTCTTCCTTAAAAAAGAAGATTCATTGTTATTTAAAAGAATTAGTACTTGCATGGTTTATAGTCTATATGGACCTCAAAATATGCATGCTTTATGCATAAAGGATAGAATATGCCAAAGTAAATATCTAAAAAAATATTAAGAAGTAACATCAATAGATAAAGATAGCTATCTTCAATATTATAGAAAGAGTGATGGAAGAACTTTCAACATTAGAAATTATGTTCTACATAATTAAAATATTATTATATATAATACTATTTTTGATAAAAAATAAAATTATTATATTAAAATTGAAGTTTGAATTTCAATTTGTATTGTAATTTTTTTAAGCACATCTATTAAAAGTTTGATTATATAATAATACAAATTAGAAATGAAAAAGACGAGGTCAAGCAATATATTAGTAGGATATATTGAAGCTCCAAAGATAACATGGTCTTTATTTGGAATAAAAATGTATGAAAAAATTTCAAATGTAGTTAATTAGCATTGTATCTTCTTGAGATGCATCAAATAATTTTCAATCCAAATAATTATACAACAAAAGTCTAAGCTTGGCAAAATACAACTTTGTTGCTATTTTTTGAAATGTGTGAATCTATAGAGATTGCTTAGCAATACAATTATCAAGAGTTTGTACAACATTTCATATTGAACAAGACATCAAAAAAATAGACAATAAGACAATATAGATTTGTAATTAGAAGGTTAAATTTTGAAGATTAAGATTCTATTGCAAAAGAAAGATTCTATCTTTGGCTTTTTCTAATGGTAGTATGCATACTATGTTCATTTGAAGATTTATATAGTATAAATAGAGTGTTGCAACTAATTTTTAAGAATATATGCTTAGAAATGAGATTTTTAGAGAATGATAAATAGTAGAATCAATGTTTGGAAGAAAATTCCATAATAAAAATAAGGAAGCAATTATAAACATTGCTTGTTATTATTTTTCTTCAATGTTTACTTACACATCCAAAAGAGCTATAAAATAAGTTTAAAGAAAGTTTTTATGATGATGTATATTATCAATTGATTCAAAATTATGGAATTGAGATGCCAAAAGAAAGATATATATTAGATTATAGATTCTTTCTTCTTGATGAAATTCTTCAAGAATCAAGCAAAACAATAGCAAATTTTTCATTGATGGGGTTGTCAAAAAGAAATTAGAATGAAAAAACTACAAATCAATTGTTTATGGAGCATATAGCATAACATTGTGATGAACTAAAACAAATAGTAGAAGAATAAGTGCCAAAATTGAATAATGAACAATGTACCTTATATTTGGATATCTTTGTTTTAGTGGATAACAATCTTGAAAAGTTGTTGTTTTTAGAAAAACCAATAGGAAAAGGAAAAATATTTGTCTACAATATAGAAGCAATGAAGTTCCAAAGTGATGGAAAAATTATTTTGTGTGTTGCTTTCTCTAAAATTGCAACACAATTTTTATGTGGTGGATAGATTGCACAGTCTATGTTTAAAATTTTGCTCTATCTTAATAAAGAATTGTTTTGCAATATTACAAAGAATACACCATATGTAGATGTGTCAAAAAAGATAATTCTTATCATTTGAAATGTAATACCAATACAACATCACTTTTGAGAGTTGTTTTACAATACAATATTTTTGTGTAATTTATTTAATAATACTTTCTATTTACAGATTAAAAATGAATTAACAATTATAGATCCATTGAAAAGTATGGTGATTCTTCCAAAACGTATGAAAGTAGATCTAATATTAAATGATTTAATTCAAGTTGTGTATGTAGGATTAGATAAAGATGAGACACTTGGAGATGAAAATTTCATTAACATGTCTATTTTATCCACACAAAATTATGATGTTGATGATCTAAATAAGAGAGGAATGGAGAGATTTTGTAGAATTTCATGTATTTACTTTAGTGCAAATATAGCAATTATGGAAGATGGTGCCATTGCTATACTTAAACTATTCAAATACTTGCAAAACATTGCTCTATATGAAGGACTTTGCATGAAATTATGCCTAATCATTACACAACTCTTTAATTGAGTCATAGACACAAGATTTTTATCTATAGATTACAAGAGACAATTGATTTTTCTTCCAATGATGACATTATGCCCATTATATGCAAAGATTCAATTCAAGTTACATCAAAGGCAGTTTTCAATAAAGATGGGATTTATAATGACCATAAATAAATCTCATGGACTACTATTGAAGAATTTAGGAATAGATCTAAAATCCTAGCATTTACACATAGATAGTTGTATGTTGCCCTTTCATAATGCACTTCTCCAAATATGATCAAGATCCTATATCTTAAAAATAATTTAGATAAAAATACTACCATAAATGTGATTTATCTGGAAGTCCTTTTAATTTAGTTATTTTTATTTTTTTTAACAAATAAAATTTATGTTTACCAATTCCAATGAAGAAACATAAACAGTTGTATTGTGTATGTATGTATGTATGTATGTATGTATATATATGTATTTTTTTTTCTTTCTTGGTGAATATTTCTTTAAGAGTGGTTAATTTTTGACTTAGCAACCACAAATTAATCTTTTTCGTTTTTTTTTTGTGGCCAACAACAAGGGTTTCTGCTAGCAAGTATATATATATATATATATATATATCGCGAGAGATAGAGAGAGAGAGAGAGAGAGTTTTTTTTTTTTTTTTTTTTTTTTTCATATATAAACATATGCATATACACACCACATTTCTTTTAAGAAGACAAATGACTGAATTGACTAGAAAAGCAAGTGTCACCGTACAACAGGGCCAACGACCCACTAAACAACCAATTAACCGAAAAAAAATGGAATGTGAAATCCGACGTGGCAACAACCACAGAGCGAAACAGACTTGTTGTGTAACTGAGTGAGTGGGAAAGCGGCGATGACGTGGCCGAGCAAGCAACAAGGAGTGAATGGGTGTGGAGCTCCTCCCCGCGATTCTTCATCGCCGACGCGTCTTCAGTCGAAGCAACCAAAACCCCACTTGAGAGCCCAGCGCAAGTGTTGGAATTGTTCGTCGGTCCCGGCAGGATCAGGCTGGGAAGCAGCACAACCCTCGCTGGCTGTGAAGAATCTCTCCCATTCTCTCTCACGCCCCTTCGAAGTGTTGTAGTAAGCATCGCCGAATTGCTGTTGCAGGTTGAGTGCAGCTCTCGATTGCGTGCCTGGGTAAGCGCCCCTCGCATCGATGTTTGGAATGTCTGGGAAGCTTGTTTCGTTCTCTGATTCTGCTCGCCCTCACTGGGCCACGGGGTTGCTTCGCCCTGTAGCAGTTTGACTGTTCCCGTTGCGATTGATATGGTCTCGCTCGTGACGAGCCTCCCGAGGTGGCGTAGACGAAGATATTTGTAGTGGCGGAGGATTCTCCTCTCACTCTCTCTCTCTCTCTCTTTTTCTCCGGCTGGATGCCGAGAACTTTGGGAACTTTGTGAGGCAGACTCATCGGCTCCGCGTCCACCCATTCTCTTCGACATTGCGCTAGATTGCAGGAGATGGGTTGGAATTGGCGGGCCTAGTGACCACCTTCCTTTTGCATTTCCCTCATCCGCCCCAGATGTTCTGACTGTGGGTTGCGTCACAGCGTTGCTACATGGCGTTTTGATCACATAGGGGAGTCCCGAGCGTCTGCGCGAAAATTTGCGCCCCTCGACCAGGTACTGGGGTCTCTCCCTCTCTCTCTCTCTCCGTCTCTCAATTGGAATTGCTGGTGTAGGGTGACGAGGGTAGATTGTTTCGACTTCCTTGTTTATGGGTCAGTGAGGAATGAAATGGGGCATTTGTTGAGGCAACATTCGGAGAAAGTGTCGGTGTAATATTGATACGCGGACTGGCCAGGATGTTCCTGGTGCTGGATTTGAGGTCCGAGGTCGACACAAGGGTGTTTGGAAATATTTTTAGGGTTCTCGAGTAGGGCAAAAGAAGAATCATAGTAGTGAAACTTGAACATGCGCGGTTGCGTTGGGTGTGCCCTTAGTGCACATGCGATTTACTCGTTCAATTCTCTCGGGATTGTAATAACGATGGAAACGTGGAATTTATGCCGTGAGTTGTCAAGAATCAGCGAATTGTCCTGCTGAATTTGGGCTCAAGGACATTATCATCTGTCTGGGCTGCCCTTGCCATCAGCGGGTCTGAGCCATAATTGAATTGAAGCATGCTGCTCAGTGTTAAACTCAATATTATGCATCACTTGAAGCATAGTGTGCTGGTTTACTGGAAGTCGTCATAGGATTCGTTCTCTTGGTGGGTACTGTGGCCGGAGCTCTCACGCGTCAGTCCCGTTTGTTTTCTCGGTTGTTTGTCTCCTCCTTAGATGATGGCCACATTGGTGGGGGAGCTGGCACCAGCTCTCAAGCACAAAGGGACATTTTCCGTGGCGCCGACACCAAGTGAGAGGCGTTTGTGTCAAAATGGTTCGATCACATCTCGCAGCCGGGTCCACGTGCGGTCCAGCTCTTCCAATGAAAAAGTGGGATTTCGAGGCTGCGGCATGTTGGGGAAAGGATTAGGGTTTGTAGTGAATGCCACCAGGATTTCTCTGAGCTCCACCTCTAGTAATTTGACCGCAAGAGCTCGGTCATATGCAATTGGAAACCCAATGTTCAGACATTCAAGTGAATTCAAGGACTTTGTGGAAGAACTACGTTTTCAGGCCACGAGGTTGCACATCGAGGAGCAGGGAAACTCACAGGTTTTCAAATCTGCATCTTCTGCTGAAGAATACCTGAAGTTCTTAGTGGTCAGCAAGATGGTCTACGAAACGATGGAAGTGATTGTCATAAATTCCTCTCATCCTGCTTGTGAGTTAAATTTTATCATGCCTCCAACAGGTTGTGCATTTTGCTTAGCATTTCGGATCTAGCAGTAGAAGATAACGTGATCATGGAATCTCATGATCATAAGTAAAGTTCTGAATTTAGTTTTGATTTGCAAAATTGATGCGTTATGCAGATGATATTTTAAAAAAAGCCGAGTTGGTGAGAGTGAAAAGGTTGACACAAGAGCTGCATTGGTTCGCAAGCCAAGGTTATGCTATACCTGAGGCTGGACCAGCTGGAATTTCCTATGCGAATCATTTGATGAAGTTGTCCCAGACGAATGTACCTGCGTTTATTGGGCATCTTCACAATGTCTACTTTGCTCATTCGGCTGGTGATCAGTTTCTTGTACAAAAGGTGTGTGCCACATAGTGCAACCACGTCATATCTTTATTGAGTTTTGGCTGCTCACGCAGTAGACGTGATTTTTGACGACGTAAGTCGGAGTTCGTTTATTGAAAGATGGCCACTGTGTCTAACATCTCAAAGCAGGAAATAGCAGATTTGTTTGTGTAAATGTTGAACTAGCAGCAACCTCGGGTACTTCGCAACATGAGCAAGATGCTGTCTTTAACAATAGAGAACCTGTTCTTAGAGTTTGAAGTTGGAAACGCTTCTGTGTGCGGACTGTTATCGTTAAATTTGTATAAACCTAGATCAGCATTATTTACTTACTTTTACACTCTTCACTTTCATCAATGTGGAGTGTTTAGATGTGTAGACCATGGCTGCCATGCACCTTGGTTTGTGCTACATTTAAGTTGTGTATCTCTGGGGCATTGTATGCAATTTCAGTTGGTTTAGAATTTCATAATTAGTTTTGGCTTGAATTAACGAAAGTGAATGCTACAGTATAATAACCTCATTTTAGCAAATGACAGGTTTTTGCAAGGGTGGCTGAGGGACTGGCACGTGGCAACTTAGGGAATGTACAAAGAAAGGCAAAAAAGAGTTTACTACATTCGAATGGGGCTGGAAGAAAGACCGGAAGGACGCTGTTGTTTTGGGCTGCGACTGTGTGCTTGGCTCTGTGGGCAGGCGGTATGATTAAGCATCTTCTCCCACATTTCTAGCTTCTTACTGAAGATGGCATATTTTCTGTTTCTGCTGATACAAAGTGCTGAAGTGTTTTGTTCGAAGTAACCAATCAATGGCCTGACATGATGGTGAAGGTTTTTTTTTTCCAGTTCAGTAGCTTTGTGTTGCCTTCGTACTTGTGCGTATTTGTGTTATTCAGTTTCAATACAATGCGAAGCTGGCATTCTTTTTCAGTGAAGAACACTGTAGAATTGCACCATCGCAAACATCTTCATAGCTGTCTCTCTATTATGCAATCTGGACTTCGCATTGTTCAGCTTGTTTGGAATGCGGTGTCACTATCATATTGTCAGTCAGCTGATGGCACACTGGGGATTTTTGTCAGGTATTAGGCCAGCCTATGCAGGTGGAGATGGCTCAGGGGTGCTGGCGCCGCCTTCTATTGGGAACATGAAATCATCCGTGGTTGGGACGTTGAAAGCTATGTGGCCCAAGACACAACAGGTTCTGGAGGTGCTGAGGGATCAAGGGCTGTTTCTCTCTCTGTTGCTCGCCCTGTCTGCGTTTTTTTCTATGGCGGAGACTTCTATCACTACACTCTGGCCATGGAAGGTATGAAGTATTTACTTAAAATGTCTTATGTATCTTTGTAGTTTTGTTGGGTATGATAATCTATAGCTGGACAATCATCATCCAAGATGGTCGTATTTGTGATTTCTATGTCAGGTTGAGTTCCAGGGTATTTCGGATGTGTAGCTTACCGCCTCTGAATTATGTTTTCATACAAACCGCAGTTATTGGATAATTGAAGTGTATAAAAAATGCATTTACTTACAACAGCAGATATGGTAGTCCGTGTATCCATAGGATGGACTCTATTACGCTTCTGATGTATCATACAATCAGACCTATTGTTCAACTCTGGTGGACGGAATGTATTAGGTTCGTGAGCTTGCAGAGAAGGAAGGCGAAGGTGGGGTCTTCCAAGTGCTACGTCAAGATGTTACTCGCTTCTTGACCACCATTTTAATTGGCACAACGTACTGGCTTCTTCATATTGTTTTATTTTGCATTCTTGTGATTTTCTGTCTTGTCCACAATCCAGCAATACAGATTCTTGGTTGTGGAATTATGCCTGGACAAGTAGCATACATTTTTCCATAAAACGTGTATATTTATCATGTCGCACTCATCATGGTTAGTACTAAACAGAGCTGTGAAAGGTGTGAAGTTGGGTGTAGACCGGAGCTCGAAATCTAGCTCCGTTTGTATGATCAATCGTATCGGTACTTATTTGATTTTTCTTCTTTTGAACAGGGTTGTCAACATTGCAGCAACAGCATTGGTGACTGAAGCAGCAACAGCCTTATTTGGAGAAGCTGGAGTTACAGCTGCCACAGGTGTCATGACGGTGGGTGATATTTAATCATAATTGAAAAGAGCTCAGTCCTTAAGTTCCGAACTGTCATGAGTGAATGCCTTCTCATGCTCGTTTGTACTGACTTGTGCAGGTTGTTCTTCTTTTAGTGACAGAGATTGCTCCCAAGAGTATCGCTGTGCACAACGCTACAGAAGTTGCACGTATAGTGGTAATTGGTCGTCGAGTTACTGCTGTTCATGTTTAAGTTTCAATTTGATTTAGATATGTTACATGCCATTTCAATCAGTTTCATGATTTGCTCGCCACTCTCATGTTTTGAATTCTTGTCAAGCAGCTTACTTCAGTACTGAGATAAACATTCTTCGCTGCAGGTGAGACCTGTGGCGTGGCTTTCAGTAATTCTGTATCCTGTAGGTCGTGTTGTGACTACAATGTCTACGAGCCTATTGAAGCTTTTGGGTTTAAAGAGCAGTGGGTGAGTGTAATACCTCTTGGTAGATGTAAGCTCTACCTTTTTCATTATTATTACCATTTTGAGTGTAAATTGTAATTAAATCTAGGTTAGCCGTTATTTATTTGTGTGATTTTTGGTTTTCTTCTTCTACAATCAAATCTTGCAGATTTATTTGTTTTGTTTTGTTTTAGATTTACCTGGACTTGGTTACTCACGTAGACGCGTTGTCGGTGGAATTCTTTCCATGATTTCCAGTTAGTTTTTAAGCCGAGGGCAGATGCAACAGCTAATTCTGTTTATTTGATTTTACAGGGAGCCTTTCGTGAGTGAAGAGGAGCTTAAACTTATGCTGCGAGGAGCTGAACTTAGTGGAGCTATAGAAGAGGAGGAGCAGGTATAATCTCCATCATTTACATTTTTTGTTTCTGATATGAACTTTTCTGGATAATCTCATTTCTGAAAAAGTTATTGGTACATCAAAGCATGCAGCTGTCAAAGGTCGTGCTTTGAAAAGAAACTGTACCTTGTATTATAATTCAATTGGGACTACATGCTGACGTAGTCATGCAGGAAATGAATGATGAATATTTAAACGTAATGCATCTGGGTTGGAATAACTTGAATCAGCTTAGTAAGTAATTGAGTTTGGGTGTAATGATACAGGATATGATCGAGAACGTGCTCGAAATCAAAGATACATATGTCCGCGAAGTTATGACACCTTTGGTAGATGTGGTTGCCATTGATTCAGCTGCGACTTTGCTAGAATTCCGCAATCTGTGGGTCAAACATCAGTATTCAAGGTAGCAACTACTCTTTACAATGTTGATTTTCGTTAGCAGTATTACTAATGTCTCATTAAGGCTCATGATGTTTTTCCACCTCTCATTTATGCTCAAGATGCCATGACTATCCAGCAATTCTTTGTAACTCAAGGTTGTATTTGCGTGCCTGATTAGCTTCGGTTTCACTTAAAATATTTGTATGTATATGTCTCGTAATCAACTGCAGGGTCCCAGTATTTGAACGACGCATTGACAACATAGTTGGCATTGCATATGCTATGGATATGCTTGATTACGTGGAGCAGGTAATTCATCCAAGGATTGAATTGAATTGAGTCTATTCGGTTCCGGAATGGACTACCTTTGTTCCTGCATAGACTTAAATTGTGGTTTTTGTTACCTTGTCTTTGAGAGAATGGCTTGCTATATATGTTGCTCTTGAGACTTACTGTTGGCATTTCCTTTGGTGTAGGTGGAATTGTTGCAGAGGATGAATGTTGGACGAATCGCTCATAGGCCAGCTTATTTCGTTCCAGGTGAGTAGTCATTCAGGGGTCGTGTATGTATTCATGGAAATTTCATTTAACTCTGATGCAACTAGTTGGGACGTGCTAATAATGTATTTGTGCAGATCCTGAAAAACTAAATCCCAGCTGTTTGTGCAGACTCTATGTCAGTGTGGAACCTGTTGAGGGAGTTTAGGATACGTAAAGTACACATGGCCATCGTGCTCAATGAATATGGTGGCACTGTCGGAGTAAGATTTGAAAAGCACATGACAACTAATCTGATAGAATATTTATAGTCTCTGTTGTGAGCAATTTCAAGGGAGTCTATTTCAACTGTAAGAATAGGGCTTATAATTAGCCCCCTGCTTTCCTCACTTGATATTTGAATACTAATGGAATCAATTTACGTGATACGCTCACCAGGTTGTGACATTGGAAGACGTTGTTGAAGAAATTGTTGGTGAAATTTTTGATGAAAATGATTCGAAGGTTGGTGATTTCGTTTATTCAATGTTTATTCTTTGCTGTGGGAATTTCTTTTCTATTTGTTTGGATTCTCATAGAGCATTTCATGAGCTGTCAGGTTAAGAGAGCACTGGAGAGTTTTCATACAGAAACTTGTATATTTTTTTATATTGCGTTACATCACCAGGCGGTGCTTGGCATTTTGAATGCAGGAAGAGATAAGAAAGAAAACTGGCTACGTTGTTCAGAGGGCCGATGGGGTCTTTGACGTCGATGCCAACACGTCAGTTGAGGATCTGACTGAGGCTCTAGAGATCAAATTACCGCAGGCAAGCTATCAGACAAATTGATGCGAGTTTATCAGTGATTGTGGATGTTCCGGTTGTGGTTTATTCATGTTTTGACACGTATAATATACAAATTTGTTGCAATCTGACAAAATAATCGCTGGCAGGGTTCGAATCACTATGAGACTGTGTCAGGTTTTGTGTGTGAAGCGTTTGGCTATATTCCTCGTACTGGTGAAAGTACCAAAATCACACTTCGAAAAGCAGATGCTGAAGATAGTGACAGGCGTGATGGAGAGAACCAGGGTGAGAATCAGGATGATCGGGATCGCAGGGAGAAGGAGAAAGAGAAGTTCCAAAAGTATCGATTAGAGGTACTATTGATTCTCGGGGTGATTACTACTGTATTGGAATCTTGTTTTTAGGTTACAAATATGTTGATCTTAAACTAATCTGATTCTTGATGCTACACAGATTCTTGCTGGTAATGCCCGTAAGGTTGGATCGGTGCGGTTTGAGAGATTAGAGGGCACCACTCTGAGTCGGGAGGAGTCCGAGAGGAGCTTCCCTCGTACTTTACATGCGGATAGGTATGTGAATGTTAAATTGAACCCGGGACGTTTCATATGAAAACCTTGGGTCACGAGGTATTAGTGGGAGCATTTGTGCATCATATTCTAGACTATTCACAGTAGTTGGATTGCCTTGGTCCTATTGCTCTTACATTCGCCGAGTCTTGGTATGCAGAATCTTGCTGTGTGGTCGTTACTTTTTAACAGAGTTTTGTTGGACAGGCCTGCTGTTGAAGACGTTCGCTGGCAAGATCCTGAGGAAAACATTTCAGACGACGACGAGGGATGTATACCTGATGAGGACAATACAGACGGACCTAAATTGTATCTTCCAGGGAGTGTACGTTGCAGTGATGAGCTGGACAGCTTTTTGACATCTGACGGGTTACCCACAGTAGGTACTTACGACTGGGAAATGGACACAGTTGAGAAGATCCCAAAAGAGGTTGAAACAGATAGTGAAGCGGATGAAAGCACGGCGACTATTGTTGCCAGCTTGAGCGACAAGTGGGAAGAAGAAGAAGCACAAGTTGAGAGGCGTCGAAACAGGAGGCGGAAACAATCAGCTGAGGCTGCAATTGAACTTGACAGACAACAAAGGTCTAACCAACACAAGTGATTAACACTTGTAATGAAACTTAGGCGGGATTGAAAGGATCAATGAGCTTCGGACATAAACGAAGATTTTTGGAAAGGTAAAAAATCACTGTCTCAACCAACAATTATTAGGATTGCTATTATATGCAAGGATTTTATACCCTCCTAGTCCTATCTGGTCTGAGTTGCTTTGCATCTGTAGAAAGATATGTTTGTAAATTGTGGGAGCTCTGTGCTGAGACTGCTATGTCTTCACAATCATCTGTTTAAGTCATGAAGCGGTGCTCAGTAATCACTGCACTTGCTCTCCCCTGTTAGACGGGGACTTATGTGGTATTTCTTTATTTTCTTATTTCTTTTCTGTGATTACATTTTCTTTTTTCTTTTTCTGACCTGTATTTTTAACATACTAGAATTGTTTTTCTTCGAGACTAAAATATTACAGCTTTGCAGTCTGCTTGGAGTAATTTAAACAGTAATTATTTTTCTGAACAATGCTACTGGCTGTAATGACTCCACTGCGTTCTTCCGGTTTATGAGGACTGTAGCTGTTCATTCTAGTGTATTTGTATTGCCAATTATCTTAGTTATAAAGGTCATCCAGGAATAGGGTTTATGAGAAATCAGTTATGGATTATGAATGAGAACATGCATTTTGCAACTAATATTTTCCTTGAAAGCTTCGAAGTGTGTCCTGTTGTACGGAGTATATTAATACAACAGCTGTGTTTTAACAAGAAAATTTGGCTTTCTAGTTTAGACACGATCTGCTATGTTAATGAGGAGTCTTTCATGCTTGTATGGCTACATGTAAGTAAATCTGTATTGAATGACAAAATTATTGATAGTGATGGATCCACTGAAAAGCAAGGTGGCATTTATCTTCTGGTGGAACAGCGCCTCACACTCTTTCACAATGTGCAATTTCAGAGAGTATTCAACCTTCATCGCCAATCAAATCCCCAATCAGAAGCCGAGGACGCATGCTTTGTTTAGTCGTATATATATCTTTTTGTTCTTCTGGACAAAGGGTATATATCCCTATGTGTTTGGTACATGCACATTTCTGTACTAATTGTGTTTTAAGCCCTTTAGATACTAGCTCATCATTTTATATTAAGATGCTATTTAAGATCTGTGAATGTGGGGGAGAATGGCAACATTGTCAAGGAAGTAAAAATGTGCACACCAAGCAGAGAACACGTCTGTATTGTGCAGTATAGGGATAGTCTACTTTACTAGTGGGTGGGGCACAAGGAAGAACCCTGGTGACTATAGGCTTGAATCCGTGAACACATCCTTGGAAATAGAAGTCCCACCACCATTGTCCATTGATGGATTTCTATGACATTTGTACATTTATTCAGGTACAGATTGAATGATACTCTGTGCTTTAATCATTCAGTCTGTGTATTGGGTACTTGTGTATACTGAAAATGGTTGTATACCATTGCAGTGTCCTGATAAATATATGGTTATTTGTTAAGATAGATAGACCACGAAGAACATTTTATGTTGGGAACCACATCTAGTCTTTGAATACAAACACTTTATTAAAGTAAGATGTACATTTTAAAAATAAATATTAACTACTTTTATGCACATGCAATGATCTCTTGTTGATAAATTACTATATTTTAATGAATATTGTATTTTCATGATAACTAGTCGTCATTTTTTTAATTAAGGTTTTAGAAACAAATTACAGAGTTTCTTAGAGAAGATTTGAAATTCAAAGAAATAAACATATTTTAATTAGTACACCAAAAAATAATAATTTATTTCAATAAAAAATATTAAATAACCCAGTAAAAATAAAATTTGTTTTCAAACCACACAGAATATGCACAAAGGTTTTTGTACAGATTTTATGGCTTATGTACAATCTTTAGTCAAAGTGTAATAAAAAGTATTAGATAGAAATGGTGTTGGTATTACTAATTGTTTTCTATTATTAAAAATTATAAACAACATGAAGATATAACGAAAAAAACCATTCCAGGTAGACAAATAATTACTTGTTTTAACAGGTTAATTTTATTGATCTAAAAACATTAACTAGAATATGAAATTTTTGTGTGCTTATAAAACACATAAGTTTGATTATCATATTTTTTACAATAAATTAAAATTATATATATATATATATATATATATATATATATATTCTTTATAATAAATCAGATTTTTTTTCCAAACTTAGTTCTATTTTGTTGTAAATTTGTTCCATTTTAATATCACAGAGTCATATTTTTCCTTGTGTAGATTGCAAAGAATATATATCTTGAAGCAGAATATTTTTATTAAAATTAAAAAATCTATTTTTATATCTAAAATAAAATATTAAACAAGTGATACCAAGTTTTTATTTTATTTAGTATATTAATGATTACCTTCAACATTGCTTCAATAATTAGAAACACTTTTCCTTTTCAACTAAAAATTGCAAGTTTGATAACAAAATAATGATACTAAATATTATGATTAAAAATGAAATACATAACCAACACCACGTTTTTTGAATAAAAAATAAATAGGTAATCTATTCCATACTATCTCACATTATTTTATTTTATTTTTATTTTTCCTTGTTTGAATCTGCCAATCAAGAAAGAAAGTGATACACTTAGTTTGACTTCAGTGCAGACGTATCCATACCTTAAAAAACACTGCATACTCACCCTACACACACACACACACACATATATATATATATATATATTTATTAATTTTTTATTGTACGATATTTTTTAGCAAGTCATTAGTCACAGCCACCCACTACACACACAGGATTCAATATCTCAAGGTGGCATATATATATATATATATATATATATACATATATATTCCAATCAATTCCCAACTCAATCAATTCTCCTACTAAACATTCAGAAATCAATCAAGAAAAACTAGAATCAACTTCATAGAAGCTATTTCAAAGAACCTCAGTGAAAACACCAAATCTTCGACCCATTAAATTCTATACATATTCCCACAGGGAAAATTTAAATATAAGAATAAAAACATAAACAGGAAAAGGCTCTATTCAGGAATCCAGGTTATCAACGAGGTAGCCAAGTTTAGCACATCAGTTATCCTGTTAGGCTAAATTTGGCTCCTTCAGTAATCCGCGCAGCTAAATTTGGCGACCACCCAGTAATTCCAGTTATCCCATAACGAACGCGGCTGCGCAAGAATGACCAGACAGAAGCGGTGCCGGATTTATCTCCTTTCCTGGTCATTCGGTAGCTTTGACCCGCTGCGACTGTTTGCGGCTGATTGTGGCCCCCTTTTGGGTCCGCTTTGCTTTGCTTTGCTGGTAGATAATTGATGAGCCCCCGTCGACAAACAATTTCACCAACTCCCTCCCTCTCATCCTCGTCGTCGTCGTCGTGATTTCTTCGGTAGTGGGGATATGGAGATCAATGGTGCTGGGGCCCAACTGTTGCTGTTGTTGCTGCAAGGAAATTTTCCCTTTCCTTTCCAGCTGGGTCTTCGACTGTAGGGTGACTCCTTGGGCTGGGGGGGGGCTTTTCCGGAAAAACCCCCCCCCCCCCCCCCCCTCCCTCCTCCTGTTTCGTTTCGTTTCGTTTCGTTTCGTTTTCTTCCCTTTGACTGGACTACGTGGGGGGGGGGGGGGGGGGGGATCACGACCGGGAAGAATATATGGATGCGATCTGCTTCATAAGTAGGGAGGTTGTTCGCTGGGGCCTCATTCGCAGTTTAGCAAAGCTCATAGGAGTAGCTTGCAGTGTTGGGTTTTTTTTATTTCATTGGCTCGTCTCGAGAGTTGGTTTTTCTTTCTTTGGGGTACAATAATTGAATTGGGCCATTGTTGCGGGTTGTTTGCTTCGTCTGGGTGGCACGGGTTATGTTATCCCCCGTTTTGTTTTTCGGCTGCTAAGGGGAGGAGCTTGTGGAGAAGAACTGGGTTGGCACTGTTCTTGCTTTGTGGGTTGGGAAGTTTTCTCAAGTTGAAGGATACTTAGCATCGCCTTGTTGGTGGAAGAATAAGCGGTGGGATATTTACCTCTTCTCTTATCAACGCTGATTCCGCACTCGAAAACTCTGAATCCTTTCTGTGAGCAGGACAGCGAACGGGTTGGGTTATGTTTTGTTTGAAGTGTCCAGAACAAGGTTTCAAGAGTTGGTTACTAGATTCTTAACGCAGGTGTAGCGAAAGGGTCAGATCGGGGAGAGTCTAATCGGGGAGAGTTACATTTGAAAGATGGGTAACTATATGTGCGTCAGCGGCATAAAACAACAAGTGCAAGACGAGTGGGACGAGCCCCCGAGGAAGGTTATCCGACCCGATGGAACAATCGAGGTATTCAGGAGAGTAGTGACAGCTGGGATGCTAATGAAGCAGTATCCTGGTCACTCGGTGTGTCATTCAAGTGCCATGATATCTGCTCTCACTACAAAATCGGTCTTACCCGAAGATAAGGAGCTCGAAAGCGGGCGATTATACTACGTCCTTCCCTCTCACAAGTTTCAAGACAAGGAACCATCTTCGCCAGCCGGGGGTAGGGCTATGACCCAACGGCGTGGAACGCTCACAGTTGAGATCAAATCGTTACCCGGATTCGCACAAGTAACAGTCAAAGGCCGAGCTGAACTTATGGACGACGATTCTGATAGTCCGATCATCAGCTACTCCACACCCGACCTTCGAAGCATGTATTTGTCCCAAAGGTCGCAACCGAGCCTCACACGGTCGAATTCCTGGAAACCAAGGCTGGAGACTATCACCGAAGTTGGTAGCGCTTCACGTCGACATATTCGGAATTTCATGCGGGGCCGCGATGTGCTTAAGAGCTAAGCGCACAATTCCTCATGGAGAATACAACTCCATTTGCGTTATCGTCTGAGTTGAGCGCAGGTGTTCCTACGCATTCAACAACCATATGCACTTCGAATCGGAGCATGACAAGAATTTCGGCGACGACATTGAACCCACACCAGACCTAACCGTGGTCGTATTCGCTGGTATACGAAACATTAAACCGATGGTTTAGGATGAGCCTTCTTGAAATGAATTCTTTTTAATAATTACTGTCCCTTCATGGGGATATACGCACACCGCAGGAAGGGTTCGGTGAGTGTTTAAGATTTCGAGCACGTTTGTGAAGCTGAGACTCTTCGACAAATCGCAGCACACCACAAAACCCGGCGAGTTGACATGGATGTTCCACGTGAGCTATGTCTACTGTTTGCTGGATGAATCCAGTTCGGTCATGGCCATCACCGCCGTGCGGACGACGATCTGGTTTCCCCACCGAGAGACGAGATCATAAAGAAACAAAAACAGACAAACAAACAAATAACTAAACAATCTTTTGTAGGTGGGTGTTTGTGCCATGAGATCGAAATCTGAAGAAGCTCCGACGTGAACAATCATGAGTGTTAGCACCCACTTTGTCCCTCACACTTCCTCTTCCCTTGTACCCATCGTCTACCTGAAACGTTGCAACAGCAAACGCTCATGTTAGGAGGTTGGAGGTCCAGCTTGTGAACCACGTCTCCAACACTTCTTCCACCTTCGACATGTAAGCTGAAGAGCAAGCAACAAACGCTGGTTTCGCCCACTTCAAGAGTCCTGCTGTGCATCAACGCTAACGACGTCGTGACCTTGGTACCAGCCCAGTTCCTAATCACGAGAGTTGCATTTGTGGGTGGAAGCGGGAGCTGGCAGGATCAAGTGAGTAGATGTCAGAACACTGCTGACACTGGTGCCATGAATGATTGAGTGTCGCCCAGTGTATCGTGATGGCATGAAATCAAACTGGGCGAATCAGCAACAGCAACAGCAACTCTACACACTACACATAAGCACAAGCACTGTGGAGTGGTCCCGACAAGACAAATCTGCACACCCACACACACACACACAGAGACACACAGACAGAGAGAGAGAGTCAAGTGCGTGTTACGCTTGCTTCGTGCACCAGCATCATCGACAGTAGTAGCAGTAGCAGTAGTGCTGAGAGTCTCAAAACAATGCATCCAGATTGGATGTGCGCCATGCTGGCTTTGCGAAGCCCCCTTTGGAGTATTAAGGGTCAACCAGAAGGAATAATATGTCATATATTTGCAGTGTGAGTAAAGAGAATAGGACTTCATCGAGGATTTTGTTTTCCACTTCTGTATGTATCTATAAATAATTTTGTATATATATATATATATATACATATACATATATTGTAAATAACCACAAAATTTTTTGTTGTTTTTGGTTAATAACATTTGAGTTTTACATTTTGGGCTGATGGCTTAACAGATTTTTAGTTACATTTCTACGAAGTTTTATTTGATTCAACCATTATTCAAATGCAATGCATTCTAATTCATTGGCTGTATAATAACATTGCATGGTCCCGTCAAGGGTTTAAAAGTGCAATAAAATAATGTTTATTTATTTATTTATTTATTATTGTCATATTATCTTCATTCCAACCTTGAGTTTATCATTTTAATATACACAAATTCTAATGCCTAATTAACACTTTTTAAGATATTTATTCATTATCAAACTTGTTTAATGGAATAACAACACATTGATGCTACTTCTATCACATTACAGAAAAAATTCCATCTTGAATACATTTTATCAAGAATAAAATTAATTATTTAAATTTAAATTTATTTTTATTTTTTATAAAAGGAATATTAAAAAAATAGTCAAAATCTATTCATGGATTTTTCCTTAATATAGGATTAAAAAAAATCAATTTCTTCAATTATGATGTAATTTGCTTTGTAGAAAATTATAACTATCCAAATATGTATGCATATATAATTTCAAGTTCAAAATATGAATGAATCTTACAAACATATTGGATGTAGCTACCTTATAGTTTAGATATATTTAGTTTTTATATACAAAATATTATTTTGTATTAAATAAAGTATAATAAATTATATATATATATATATATATATATATATATATATATATGATTATTAATTTATTAGCTTTTAAATTTAATAATAAATTTATACCTTCACAAAAGTACAATAATATATTGCTAAATAGATTTTATTATCATTCTAATTATTAGTTTTTTATTTTAATATTAATTTATTCATAATTAATAAAATATATATTTTTAATTCGGTTTTTTTTAACATTATATATATATATATATATTTATAAATTTGAATCAAACACAAAACTTTAAAAGTTTTTTAAGCTTAAACATATCTTTTATAAGCAAAATACATAGCATTAAAATTAGTATTAATAGAATTTAAGATACCTATTATAAATTAAAATTATTTCATGCTTTTTAAATTTAAATAATTAAGATATTGATGTTATATTCTAATTTTTTCTTAATTTAATTTAAACTTAACATTTGCAACAAATCCCACTTCATTCACTATATTGCAAGTAATGATATGTTTTTTGCTATCTTGTAAATTTTTGGCTACCATATCTTTTTATGAGGCATTTAAAAAATATTGATTTATTTTTAAAGGAACTATAAAATCATGTATCAAAAGTCTATATATCAAAAAGAATTTTGACTTTACTTTAAACCGTTTGTAAAGAACCTTAAATTTAATTTTCTTTATTTCACTTTTTATATAAAAATTGAATACATAACAATGCCTTTATCCATATTATTGTTATCTATTACACTTGTTGTTGGAATAGTCTCATAAGAATTAAAAGAATACTTATAATATATCTTTTATATCTAAATCTATAATTTACTTACATATGACATTTATATATATTTCTATACTTGTTAATAGAACATAATCATGTATTTTTGACTTGACAATAAACATTGGTAGTATTTTCTCTTAAGTCTTAATGTCTTCAAGTAATTTTTGATAATAAGACTTGGTTTTTTACAAATAAATATGTTCTTAAATCATAATAATGATTAGAGTAGTTGTATTTCTTAGTAGAATGTAGGATCATATTCTCTCTTTAATTTTATATTTAATTATATATTTGATTTATTTTAATACTTGGTTAATTATTCGTCCAATCTTACTGTAATATTATCAATACTAAAGTCTTTTATGTTGGTTGACTTTAAATTAGTGATTAAAATATTGTAATACTCCATAAAAATCATTAACAAGATTATGACCACATCAACATTTTCTTAGAAGTTAGTTTATGAAGGCCTTCATTTTGTTGATATATACCATTAAGTCTTCACCTTTGAGCATGAAGAATTTTTATTTTGTAAAAATGATATTGAAAAATTTCTTATGTTTAAGATGTTTTAAAGAAGCTTCTATACTTTTATTGATTTGAATGCTTTTATTTTTTGTTGGCATTCAACCATTAGCAAACTAAATTCGTAATAACTTTTGTGTAGTAATTAGGTTAATATTTACCACTTATCTGCACCTAATTTAATACATAATAAGTTTACCTTGTATATATAAAGATTGCTTATTTTTAGAATCAAAACAAAAAAGAAACAATTGACATAGAGATTTGCTAATGCCATCTTGTTCACAAAAATCAAATTTTTCGGCCAACCAAGTTAGAAAAAAACTATACACAATCATACTATTTTTATCTTTTTCAAAAGAATTAAAACTTACATTCAAACAAAGTTCAAAAAATGGATTTAAGAATGATCTCAATGACCACAAGGAACTTAATACTAAGACAGTTTAGTCAACCTTTGAAAGCAGTTCCAAAAGAATCAGCTTACCAAATGATACCCACCACCACACACACACACACACCGTCCTCACAATCTCAAGGAAATAAATCATTTCCACTGCATACGAGCAGCCAACCAACCATGATGAACGATCACATGCAAATATTATAAAATCTTAGCACCTTTTACGACATCCGCAAATGGGATTCTTCTCTCCGTTTTCATACCAACTTGGTCCACTAGGAAAAACATCAAAGCTTCAATCACCCTACACACGAAGATGGGCCTACTTATTTTTTGTTTTTTGTTTTTGTTTTTCTATTGATTTCTTCCATCACCCGTTGCTCCCTCTTGAGAAAATCACATGGTGACGTAGCTTGTGAGAATGTTCCCATGCTCCCTGCGCTGCCGCGGCGTCACCACTGGCACCGCTTCCCAAGCTCCAGGTTTTGGAACTGGGTTGCGGCTGATGTTGCATTGGTGGGCGATGATGATGCGCCATCGCTCCTCCTCCTCCTCATGATCTGATCCACTCGGATGCACTAGACTGACTGACTGGTCTCTAGCAACAATAGAGGAGGCATCATCCTGGCAGCAGCAGAGACAGAGATTCTGGATACTTTAGAAGCGAGAGAGTGCGTTAATGGGTCAGGCAGGGCAGGGAAGTAGGGCAGGGCAGGGATACACTGGAGTGCACTGATACTCCACATTGTGATTGGATTGCTGTTCTCGTTTCCATACGACACCGTGCCTGTGTACCACTTCAACTCTCCGCTGCTGCTGCTTTACTTTTGTTTTATTTATTTTGTGTTTCCTCATTAATCTTCGGGGTATTGACCTTCCACGGAAGAAATCAGCGCTCAGGAAGCGGACACCTGATTCATGGACACCCACCCTCCTGACTGCAGGATACCTGGGGACTGACTATCTTAGGGAAGCGGAGCTCATTCTCTTCACAAGTGGCGGCCTCGTAGCCACAGTGGGCTTCGAAGTGTGGTGGTGGTGACTGTGGGGAGCCCCAGAGAGGCGTTGAACCGAGATACTCTGCCTGATGAAGCAACCTTTTCAGCAACTGCGACAGGTTTGCTGAATGTTTTTATTTTTTTATTTTTTTATTACTGCGCAGCTGGCATACTTCATTTTTTCTGATTTCTATGGCCAGATATTGCCCTTGGTGATGTCAAGGACTGAAACACCGGCACTGAAGTTTCAACTCGAGCCTTTCAAATCAGTCGTGACCCGGAGCTCCGTCGTCGATGTAGTCAAAGGGGGCTTTTGGTAGGCTCCGAGAGGGCACTGCTGCTCCGTGTGACCGCATCATTCCCTCTTTGACACTGGTTGCTTTTGTTGCATACTTTTCAGCTAGATTATGGAACATGGGGCTCTGACCAGTCAATGCCGGAGATCAATTGCCAACACATGAGCCTGTTGGTGGGGCCCTTCCAGTCAAAAGTGAGTGACGACGGCTCCTGGCCTTCCTTTGAGGCAGTTTCCTTTCACTGTTCCTCTGCAGAGAGACAGATGAAATTCCCATGCAAATGCCTAACCCTACGGGTTTCGTTTGTTGTGATTGCTTTAATATGAGCTTTGGAAGCCTCTAGGTCTTCATGTTGATAACCCAAGATAATAGTGGTTGAAGGCTCAAAAAAGCAAGGCACACTTCTCTCCTGTGGTAAAACATGTTGCAGCCTTTCAGCTGTAATTTATGGCTTTAAAAATGTTTTAAAAAACTTATTATTGTATGTATTTTAATTGAATCACTTAAAAAGAGAACCAAGTATCATTTTAAAACTAAAGTTTTGTTTTTCTTTTCTTTCCTTTTCTGAAGTGTCGATGACTGCAAGATTTGTTCTGTATGCTGCACAATGAATGAAAAAACAGTATCATTGACAGTATTATATCTTGACAATTAAATGTTAAAGAAATGGTTACTTTGTCCTCATAATTTGAGATTTAAAGTAAGAGGAATATTCATTGTTCCATGCATTTTATTGTACTACTTTACACAGGGGGGGTATCGTACAAATTCATAATGCTCCACTATACTAGCTTACCCATTAAAAAAATATAAAAATAACATATTATTGATAGCTCGGTTTTTGGCAAACAATATACTCGTTTTAGGAAACAAGTATATTGTTTTGGTAGATTATACTGGGAACTTTCATGTTATTTATTCTTTTTACAAAAAAACACTGAAGTGCATATGTCTACAAAAATAGACCTTTGGATATGTATATATTTATCAAAACTGAAAAAAATGGAGCGTACAATTTAAACATGAAAGATAAAAAAAATAATACTTCATATGCTTATTGTATAAAAGTCTTCCTACCACCTAATCTCTCTGATGCTTTGTATGATCATGTATGTAATTCTTTTTGCTGAATATCGCTACATATAGATCGGCAGCTTCTAAATTCAATCATGTGTAGACAAAACTTCATTTATAGAATGCAGTTTTTAGCATGCAGTGTTTCAGGATTACTTTATCCTTTGGAAGATTTTGCCCTTTGATACACAGTAGATCATTGCAACCAGCTATTGTTCATATATTTTTTAGCAGCCACAAAATGAATATATGAATATTGTTTAACAGGTGCCAAAGAAAATCCTCATGCATACAACTGTAAGTCTTGAAGATTCCAAAACTATACAACTCTGACACGTATTTGGAATGGATTTAAAAAAAATAGAAAAGAAAAGAAAAGAAAAGAAAAGATGTGCTTCCATGAAAATTGTAATCCACTGATACCATTCTAGTCTCTTATGAATTGCCTTCATAAGAGACTCCTTGAAACTTTTGTGATCTTTGAGTCAGCCAAATCTTCTGGACTTCAACACTTTTACACAAGCAACATCTATCACTAGTAGAAGACCTTCCTGAACCATCCATCAGGACGCCAACAATTGTAATCCACTGATACCATTCTAGAGCTGTACTTCCATGAAAATGAATACCTAACGTAATGTTGCACTCACCCTGCAGTAAAAGACTTCATCGCTTGTCCTTAATGTGCTGATAAATTTCATTATCAGACTGGCCGAACCGCCTAACATATTTGACCCAGTCAACAATTGGTCGTGGACTAGTTAACAAGATTATCGTAAACGAACATGGATCACTCCGCCTGACTGCTGGACTACTTCACAATTCCAGTCTAACTGAGAACTCCACAATGGGTGCTGTGCATGTACGCTACATGTGTCCAACTGACAATCCCAAGCAGTCCTTAACATAACTAGAAGTTAATCACATCCTGTGTGAACATCAAATGAACTGCACAAATCTCAATAATTCGAAAACCTGCAACACCAAATTGATGACATGCAGAAACTTCAGCGGAGTGTACGTCTCAAGAAAAGTAAGCTTGGAGTCAAGCAGGGTACTTAGGTGCTCTGGACTTAGGCAATGAAACTTGATGAGCAAGGGATCAAAGAGTATTTCTGACAACAAACCCCAGCAGAGGGTGTCTCGAGGTCTAGTTTGTCATCACATATCCACAAATGGGGTTCACGTTGCTAGCTGGACGATTGAGTTTGAGTTAGCAACTGAACATGAGGAGACGATGACCTAGACGATATGACGTAGGAGGACTTTCTGAAGAGTTAAGATGCTGCCCTAAGTGTTCAGTGCAAACGTCACATGTGTTGTATGGTCTTGCATTGGTACCAAGGATCTCGAATGAAGATGCTTTCTCAACTGAGCTGTTCTACATTGTAAACGAAAAAACCTGAATTGATTTCACGGACCAGTCGCTGAAAACTCAGAAGGTATTCCATTGTCTCGCCGGCGTCTGCTAAGGTTCTCCAAATGCCTGAACCTCGTGAGACGACGGAAGGTTTAAAAGGGGCTTCACAAGGCTCGTCCCTGACTTTGCACTGTTATTAGAAGCATTCTCAGCACCTTCTTCTGTTGAAAGCCGGTTATACTCCATGTATGCAAACCGATCCCATTAGGTCGATAATGAGTCCTCCCCCTCCTGTCCAGAAGATCTATAATTGAAAGACAGTTGATATATCATCGAAAGCATATAGAATGAGTAAAATCTACAGATTTAATGCAACCTGCACGCTGTTCTTCTGACAAGTCCTAACCCCAAGGAAGAAACTGTAATATCCTATCGGTGATGAGGAAGACTACATAATGATGGGCTTGGTATTCAAAGCTCTACCACTGGCAAAACAATATTTTGTGGATTATGGGAATGTTGAAATAATCGATCCACATATAATTCAAAAAATATTTGAGATCCTGAATTGAGATATGAACTGTTGTGATACATGATGAACAAGGAAGAGGTCACGAGTCTCAATTGCTACAAATTGAGCCAAGTTCAAGAGAACATTGAAAAAGCTGCCAGATAATTTGCACCGCTTTAGATCAAGAGATGTAAACTCTCTCTCTCTCTCTCTCTCTCTCTCTCTCCATCGGCATCCAGTGGAAAGGGACAATGTCAGCAGTATTCCCATGCCAATTGTCATTTAAGCTGGTGAAGAAGGCAAGACAGATCATGCAAAAAAATCACAAGCTTTTGTATTCTGCAGATCAATAAAAAGCTTACCGAAAGCTCTATTATGTCTGTCATTTTACAGACGACATTCTTAAAAAGCGTAGGCTCGTGAGCATTACATTCCACTCGATGCAATTGCTCCCTGTAAAAATTAAAAAAAAAAAAAAAAAAAAAAAAAAAAACTGCATATCATTTGGTATTATCACATTATCACAATCCAAGTCCACATACTTGAACCTGAAATGATTAGCACAGATATCCATTAGATTTTTTGTTCAAGTTGATCTTTCTCCTCACTTCTAGTAATTTAGGACTAACTCTAACGCCTCGTTCTAGTTGCCAAATCCGCAAATAGAAAAAAAAAGAGCCACATGGAGCCATGTAAAGATGAACACCGGTATTCTAAGCTGGGTTCTGAAGATTTGTTTTCTTTTAAAAAAAACAAACCACAAACAATCTTCATAATCCATCATTCCCTCTACTTCGCTGAAAAACTTCCTTGGAGCCTGCCAATCACCACTTATCTTAATTTACACCTGGAATGGAACCACAATGGTCATTTACCAACAAAAGCGCTCAAAGCATTACACCAATTCAAAGTCTTTACAGCATTTTAGGCACAGTGAGTACGTCTAGATCGAATGCTAATTTGGGAAGTTCAACGGACCAGGGGATCACAAGATACGTTCAACTATTCGGTAAGTGAAACCATACTATCCACATCAAAGGAGACCATCCTCGTAAACAGAAAAGCCATGATCCGAATCTGGCCACGAGAACTTGCAATATTTGTCGTAAAGATGTTCATATGAGAAGTACCTGCACACGGCGTTCTCATGTTGTTCAGTCTAAACGATGATGATTGAAGCCCAAATTAGCATCATGCTGCACTCCACAAGTGCGACTGAATCAAAAGGACACCAGGTACTATCATGGGCCTGGAGTTTTTACAATGTAGAAAATTGTCAATCAGAGGTAACACTTTCCGGAACACTCGTTGTATATCCTCTTCTTCATCTACTTGCTGAAGAGCAGCAATTAAGTTACTCCTTTTTGGCTCTCTAAGTTAACGCCACGCATTTCAGCCTTGTCAACATGGTAAAATGTTCTGGACATCACAGTTTTCGGCATCCATTTCATACTCTTCGCAAGAATCTGGACACGTTTCAAGAGCCATAAGTACGAAATTGTCTCCATTACAATGTTCACAACTCTTTCTGCATCGAAGGACCTTCGATGTGTATATTTTCTCGAGTTCATTGCAAGTCCAGATTAGTGTACAGGATCCGAAAGGTTTACCATATCTGTCTTGATACTATGGGGTATCACAGAGGAAGTCCAAACTGCGACGCATCAGTAGTTGTTTGTTCAGTAAGACTCTAGGCCCATGTTACATCTATCTCATGTAACATCTCCAAAGTAACAAAACAATCATATAATCACATAACCAAATAACTAAAATGGATCCATGATCTTTAAGATTATATTCACAAAGCTAATATCTAATACATTCACAATAGTTGAACATTATCCAAAAATTATTGCAACATGATATTATACAATACAAAATCAAATCAAAACTTTCACCAATGTTATTCTATACAATCATAATCCATCAAACTTGGTTTTCTCTACATGCAAGTTTTATAATAATAATATTTTTTTAGTGTTGTCAAATCTATCACAATCCTAATTATAAAAAAAAAACTAAACATTATAATAAGTACAAAATTAACATCTGAAATATGCAATCACATTAATAAAAAATTAAAAATATTAATAATTTAATATAAAAAGAGTTGTAGTATCTTATATTTTGGATGAAATATTCTTATATTTTCTTAAAATAAAAAATCAATCATGATATTACAAAGCCCAATAAATGAATTAAATAAATTAAAATAAAAAATTGAATATCTATTATAATTACAATGTGTATATATATTTATTAGCAAAAATATATTCTATTGCAACATGCCATATATAAAAATCAAATATTTATCTCCTTCAAAAATCCATAGAGTATCAATACAACAAACTATTTTTTTCCATAAAAAATCTTTAAAAAAAATATAATTTTATCATATATTATATAAAATGTCCCAATTTCTTGTTGTAATTTTTTTTAACATCTTTATAATTCTACAACCTCACAAACATTTGCAACATATCAAAACTCTTCACACATTTAGTATATATGTCTTCTAAAATTAGATTAAT